AGGGGGGGGGAAGAGTGGTAGTGATGATGATGATGATGATGATGATGATGATGATGATGATGATGATGATGATGATGATGATGATGATGATGATGACATGCCTAATTGTGACGTATTTTTCCAGCTTTACACTCTGACCAGGCAGAACACAAAGCTGAAACTGTCCAACGACGACGTGAAGAGGATCTCCATGACAGTCCGTCATTATTTTGACGACCAGAGCACCATTGCTGACGGACTCATGGAAATGATTCGCCGTTACAGGTAAGCTCGCGTTTGTGCATATTATTACAACTAATGTGTGATAGATATACTTATATAATAACATTCATATGACATCACAGAGCAGGCGGTAACAACATGGATACGGAAAACAGCTTATAAAGCGTGATTGAGGTCGCTGTTGAAGGGCTACATCTTGCTGCAGTGGACAGACAACACCAAGAAAGAAAATAAGAAAGAAAGAAAGAAAGAAAGAAAGAAAGAAAGAAAGAAAGAGAAAAAGGAAGAAAGAAAGAAAGAAAGAAAGAAAGAAAGAAAGAAAGAAGGAAAGAAAGAAGGAAAGAAAGAAAGAAAGAAGGAAAAAAATAAAGAAAGAGAGACTAAATCAAAATTGAGTTTTGTGGTACCGGTTACCTACTGTATTTTAATCCGTGAAATCAGGCGTGCGTCAAAATTAAAATAATGACATCAAAGAAACTGGCATTTTCCCTCCAGTTCAATTTTTGTCTTTATGTTTGTTTTGTTGTTTTAGGTGGGTTTTTTAGTTCAACGCCTTTTTTATTCCTTTAAAACCATATTTCTACGTGGATTTTTACAGGAACTCGCTCAATAAAGACATACAAAATGTAAATCTGAAGTTTCTAACGACACTATTATAGCTTTTGAAACCACCAAACTGGGGCAGCCATTTTCTCGCCAATTTCACCTCTGACACCGGGTGATCCCACCTTCTTCAACAGCAATAAATATCTCCATTTCTAATCAAGATGAATGTCTATATTTTCACCAAATCAAGACAAATAAACAAACTTTAATACGATATCATAACTCTGTATAACTGAAAATTGACCAGCGCCTGAATCACCGCGTTGTGGTTCAAATGAATGAGACGAATCCTTGAAATACATGTGGAATGGTGTAGCTTCCACAAGCTTCCGTACTCTCAGTCTGTCCGTCTTTTTATTTTCTGATTGGTCTTGTGCAGTAGACTTTTCGTTTTTAATTTTAAAAAAAATTGTTATTGTTATTGTTATCGTTATTATTGCTATTGTTATTGTTATAGTGATTGTTATTAGTATTACGATTATATAGAGTCTAATAATAACAACAACAACAATAATAATAATGATAATA